GGCGGGGCTTCCCCGAACCCACCAAGGGGCAGGGCCGCACCCCGTGGGTGCTCAGTGGAGCGGCAGCAAGCAGAGGGTCTGGTGGAGCCCCTGTTCACTGCCAAGGTCCTCTGAAGTGTTTAACAGCCCGGGAAAACGCGGACGTGATCGGTGCTGAATGGCTGAGCGGAGCGGAGCGGAACCTGAAGAAGCCCCGCCTGCCTGCTGGGGGACACTGTCTAGTGCAGACCCCGCACTGGGCACCTGTGGACCTTGGTGCTCTCATGGCTCCCTGTCCATGAAATGAAGTTAGACAGTCTCCTCTGTCAAAGGAGGTTTTATGGAGGGGACAAACTACAGCAGGGCTTTGGGGGCTGTGTAGGAGTTGCTTAGAGACCTGAAGGCTGGATTTGCCAGCTTCTCTCCCAGGCTGAGGTAGGAGGAGCTGCAGTGGGGGCAGGAATTCCCGGCTCTGGCTCCTAGAGGCCAGGGAGGCAGCAGGATGTCCCCTCCCCCCTCCCCTAGCCGCTCCTCGGTTGTTGTCCCTCACCCCTGTCTCCTCCAGACCCTCCGCTCTGCTCGCTCACTGGGGCAGGGCCGAGCCTGGCCTGGGACCCTCCAGTCCCCACCAGTCCTGCCCCATGTGCCCTGGCCCGGCGAGTGGCCCTGCAGGTGGAGCAGCTCTTCCCAGGTTGCCTTGGGCCCTTCCTGACATTTACTGAGCCTTCTCCTTGCCTCGAACTGCTCCCAGGGAGGCCGGGCCCCCGCCAGCTTCTCCTCCCCAGGACAGGCTGGGCGTGACCGCCAGGCCCAGCTGCCTCTGTCCTGGGGCGGCAGAGATTCCCACTTCCAGCTGGGTGTCCTTCTGCCCCCTGGGCCCCACTCCCTCTGGATCCATTTCCATCCCGAGCCCCTGTTCAGTTCATCCTGACTGCTGGTGTCTGTGAGGTCAGGTGTCTTCACCTCGTCCCCATGTCCCTGTCCGCCGGAGGGTGCCAGGCCTGGGCTTGGGGCTCTGGGCACTGGCCCCTACCAGCCCCTGCAGACCCAGCAGTCAGAGTCTGCCCTGCCTCTGCCTCCCAGCCGGACCCAGGAGTAGGCAGCAGTTCCTGAGGCACACATGGTCCGGGGAGGGCACACGGCCTCCCACACCACTGTCCTGCCCAGTGCAGAGACCCAGCTGCCTTCGTGAGGCCCCCATTCAGGGCGGGAGATGAGGTTGCAGAGCCTGCCCAGGAGTCCTCAGGTGCTGGGGGAGCGAGACACCCATGGTGGAGACGGTGCTAGGTGGGTGGGGAAGGAAGGGCAGTCCGTGGGCTCACCGTGAGGGGCTGGGTGGGGCTGAGCGAGGCCGCAAACCGCAGTCTGGGTCGGGCAGGGCTGCACTTGGTGTGACCGGAAGTGGGGTTCTCTGTCCACGCTCTGCGCACAGGCCCCTCCGGGCTGAGGTCCCAGCTGGCTGGGGCAGGTGGGGACAGCCTAGCGGGGGCACAAGTCAAGGCTTTCAGGGATCCACTCCAGGGATGGTGGGGGAAACTGAGTCACACCCTTCCTCCTGCAAAAACTACTGGGCCTGAGTGATGTCTCTGCTGTCAAGGAGCCCCTGCGGCCCACTGATGGTTCTCTGCCACCTCCCTTCCAAGGCACAGAGCCAGGCAGCCAGGGAAGACAGCTGTGGGGCCTAGGATCTGGTCGGGGTCCGGACTAGCAGAGTACAGAGGAGAGCGGGGCCCAGGGCTCACGAGGGGCAGGACATGAGCCGCGCCTCCGGAGCCGCGTGTGGGGCAGACACGCGGACTGGGGCGGGGCGGGTCCCTGTTGCTCCTGGCTGCGGCCGCAGACCCTCCTCTGCCTTGGCTCTGGACGGTGCGATTTCCAGGTTCCAGGAGGGTGGGCGGGAGAGGGCTGGGGGCGCTGCTGGTGAGGCCGGGCAGGTGGCTTCTCTCCAAGGTGCTGAGCAGCAGATCCGGCGGGACGCCGGTGTGCGGCCCTGCCCACCCTGAGGGGCTTTGACCTAGGCCCTGTCCTACGTCTACCAGGCTGGCTCGGGCCTTTGAAGGGGTGCAGAGGTTTGGGGGGTGGTTGGGGGATCCCAAGGAGGGGTCCCATCTCCCTCGGCAGGGAGGCTGTCGGGGGCTGCGGGTCCCCAGTGGGGCTGGGGCTGGGCCCGAGTCCTTGGACAGGGTGAGTCTAGGAGTCACCTGGGTGCCAGCCCTGGAGTGGAAACGGGGGGCCTGCATGCGGGAGACAGCCAGGGCAGAAGTGGGGACCTCGCAGTGCCTCCGTTCCTCCCCACAGTGCCGGGTGGGTGTGCGAAGGGTCGGGGCGGCCCACCCAAGGATGAGCTGCAGCAGGAGAGCTGCATTCCGCCTCCAGGTTTGGCCTCTGGCTTCTCCACCTGCCTTCCTGGACGGAGGTGCCGAGGGGGGCTCAGAGGGGATCGCAGTGCTAATCCCATGCCCCATCCTGCTTCTGCCAGCTGTTACCAAACCCCTTTGTCTGGAGGGGAAGCTGGGCTTTGGGGCAGGAGGGGGTCAGGACTTACGGGATCTTAATCCACACATGGGGCTTAACCAGAGGGATCAAGTCGAGGTTTGGGAGCAGGAGGCATCGCTTGGGAGACGGGGCCCGGAAGGGTGGGGATCGGCCCGAGTGTCAGGAGGCCTCTGGGCTGGCACTGGCTCTGCCGAGGATGCAGGCACCTCCCTGCCACTCTGTGCCTCCATGTGCCCTGGAGACGGTGCCCCATGGGCCCAGGGCCAGCACAGGCTGGGGAGCGGGAAAGTCAGAGGAGGACCCAGGCAGGAGGGCTGCTGAGATGAGAAGCAGCAGGCGTCCCTGGCAGGCAGAGCACAGGCGGGAGAAAAGAGCCATTTTGTGTGCACAGCACAGCAAGATTCCTGGGTGCACTGCCCCAGGCCCCAAATGCCAGCAGGCGGCCCCCCCCCACTCTGGCTTTCTGCACAAACCCCTCCAGCTGTGAGATGGGGCTGCTGAGGAGGTGGGGCAGGGCCAGCAGGCACTGGGGAGCCAGGCACGCTTCTTGGGCAGAGGTGTGGGGCGTGGAGGGAAAGGAGCAGCAGGAAGTGGGGTGGGTGTGGGGTGGAGGAGCCCACTCCAGAGCTGGGCAGAGCTTTGGGGCGTGGGGCTGGGTCAGCAAGAAGAGGCCAGGGCCTTGCAGAGCTGGGGAGGAGCTCAGGCAGGCGGTGTGGCCCCCAAGCCTCCCCGGCTGTGTCTGCACAGCAGACCCAGCCCCTGCTCCCAGGCAGGAATGGCAAAGCAGCGGCAGCACCCAGCCCTGGTCCCTGCCAGCGGGGCACAGCCCGACCGCCTGCCAGGACCTCTCCTCCCACCGCTGAGTTAACCATTAACTCGGGCCCTGTTGGAGCTGGGGCCAGGCTTGCTGGGGAGCAGCTCCATGGCGTTTAGCGGGGTGAGGGGAGCTGGTGTGTGGGGTGAAGAGGGCAGGGCGGGAATTCACAGCTGGGAGCAGTGCCCTGGGCCAGGAGTCAGGAGACCTGGGTCCGGGCCTCGCACCTCTCCGTACCTTGACTTCCCCCGTGGAGTAGGGGTGAGAACGAGGCCCAGGCTGCCAGCCTCTGGGGCTGGGGACAGATGCCCGCCCATCCCTCCTGCCGACCCCAGCCGTTGCCTGCCACTCGCCTGCCCGAGGCCTCAGAGGAAGCCAGCACGCTGCTCCTGGGAAATACTGCCTGCCTGGCCTGCGGCCCGGGTGCTGGCAGAGGCCGTCCTAACGTGGCAGCTCGGGGCTCTGGGGACGTGGACGGGCACAGGAGTGGGGGGGCTGGGGGGCTCTGCAGGGTGGAGCCACGCAGGGCAGGGCGTGGGCACAGGCCAGGGTGGAACCTGGGGCAGAGCGGGCTGTTCGCACTGCCTGGGTAAATATCACTGGCCCAAGACACACACGAGTGTTTGCAGAGAGGGACTTGGCATGCCACCAGGCCTGCCCTCTGTCCCCCACAAGCCCGGCACCCCCGCCCCTGGCCACCCCGCCCACCCTGACCTTTTCTTCCTTGTCACTTCAACAGCCCTTGAAAGGAAGACTTGATGTCAAAGGGAGCAGCCCTCTGTCTTGTTGGCAGGAAACTGCAAGGCTGCCATGTAAAGTTGGGGAGGTTGGGCACTGAGCAAGGGGGTGGGTGGAGGGAACTGCAGTCCTACCTGGGCCCAGTCACCCAGCCTTGCCGTCCCTTTCCCAGTTATTAGGAAGACTGGAGTGGCTGGCTGGCCACTGAGGCTGCACAGGGTGACTGCAGATGCCCCGGAAGCCCCTGGGCCGCCCCTCCATGCCGGGTGCTGTTAGGCAGGCCGCCAGCCCCTGGACTGCGACTCCTCCTCCTGGGACAGCGGGCCAGCAGCAGCTCTCCAGCAGCATCGGAGTGACCCAGAGGCCTGTGGTCGGCGCTGTCCCCACCCTGCCCCAGGCCTGGGCACGCAGGTGTCTGCCACCACCCACAAGGGCACAAGCCAGCCTGCCTGTTCCTTGCCTCCTCTTTGCCCTTTCAGTGCGGCACTAGGGATGGAACTCAGGACCTTCGCACTGAGCTGCATCCCCAGTCGTTTTTATTTTTTATTTTGAGACAGGGTCTCAGTAAATTGCCGGGCGTAGGGTCAGACTCCCAATCCTCCTGCCTCTGCCTCCCAGGGCGCTGGGCTCACTCCTCCCCGGTGAACACCCCTTGAGGTTCGGGGCCACACGCCTCCTGGCGACCTTCTACTTCTATGTTGCCGCCTTCTTGAGTCTCAGCCCCGAACGCATCGCCTGTTCCTGGGACGCGGGGGGTTTCCCGGTCAGCCTCTCCGGTCCACAATCCCAGACTGCACACTGGGGCGGGTTCTGAGGGTGGCCCGAGGGAGGGCTCCACCTCTGCCCCGGTGACGGGCACAAGCTTGGCCACAGCAGGAGAGGTTTAGGTTAGGGGGCTGGGAAGGGTCGGGACAGGAAGGGCCCCTTGTCTAGACCTCAGTTTGCTCATCTGACAAATGGGTCTCTCAGTGCCTTCCATTCTGAGCCTCAGGGTGGATTTACATTCATCAGTGGGTCCAGATTTGCAGCTCGCAGCCAGCCTGGCCCCTCTCCTGCCCCTTCTTCCTGCCAGCACTGACCTCAATGCCCAGTGACCCAGCAGCCCCAGCTCCCCCAGGCCCTTATCCCGGTAACCAGCGCAACGGCCCCTGAGGGGAGGCGGACACGGTCAGCCTCGGCTCTTTCCTCTCTGCAGACAGCGCCGCCAGCCCAAGCAGCAGCGGCATGGGCAGTGCCAGCCCGGGCCTGAACGCCGCGCCCCCTGGCTGCCTGCTGCTGCCCCCGGACACAGTGCTGCGCTCGGGCCTGGAGAAGGTGGCGGGGCCTGAGAAGGGGGACTGGAGCCCCAGCCCGCCTGCCACACCCACCTCCGAGCAGGCCCTGCCCACCTTCTACCTCTCTGACTTCGACATGTTGTACACTGAGGACGGCACCTGGGTGGCCAAGGGCCCTGAGGCCAGCGGCCGGGAGGAGCCATCTGAGGAGCCCGAGCAGTGCCCAGTCATCGACAGCCAGGCCCCGGGGGGCAGCCTGGACCTGGTGCCGGCCGGGCTGGCGCTGGAGGAGCACTCGCTGGAGCAGGTGCAGTCCATGGTGGTGGGCGAGGTGCTCAAGGACATCGAGACGGCCTGCAAGCTGCTCAACATCGCCGCAGGTGAGCCCTCCACACGTCCTCTTGGCCCCCGCGCTGGGCTGGGGTCATGGGGCAGAGGCCCTGCTGGCAGCCCAGGGTCCCCCACGCAGCTGCAGCCTGGCTGGGAGAGTCCCCATCACCTCTGTACCCCACACTGCTGACCAGAGTCCCCACTCAGTAGGCCCTGAGCCAGGTGATCCTAGCTTTCCTCCCTCTGTCCGCTCTGCTCTCCTCCACTCTGCTCCAGCCTCCTGCCTTCCTGTCTGCTGTTCTCGCACCACAAACCCCAGGACCTTTGCACCTGCTGATCCCTCAGCCTAGAATGTTCTCTCCCCAGATATCTACCTGGCCCCCCTCCCCACCCCCTGGCTCAGGTGTCACAGGACCTGATCCTCCATCAAAGTTGCTGCCCCACCTCTAGCTCCTATTCCCTCACCCACTGTACTTCTCCCTCCCTCAGTCCAGACTTTCATTAGCCCTGCTGATTACCCGCTCTTGTTTACCATCTGTGTCTCCCTCTAGAGTACACATGCCACAGGGGCAGGGATTTACCCCTTGCTTGTTCATTTCCACACCCCAGTGCTCGGATGGCACCTGGACAGAACAGCTCCTCAATACACAGCTGTGGAGCGAATCTAACCCAACCACTCATTCCTACCCCAGGCCCTGTTCCAGGCCCGGGAAACCGAGTGGGGCCTCGGTGCGGGGGTCCCTGTGTCCTCAGGCTGGTGTCACGGTGAGGGAGACAGGTCACAAGACGGCAGAGCTCCGTGCCCCCGGCATGCATGGTGAGGACAGGGAACAGAGCAGGCCAGCCCCTGCCAGGCCGGGAAGGTGGTATGGGCCTGGCCTGTCTGCAGCATTCCCAAGCTCCGCCCCGGCGGGCCCCGGGCCCTCTCAACAATGGGGACAGAAACAAATGGCTTCGACCTGGGAGAGGAAATGGGCTTACGGAACAGGAGGTCAAGGTGTTCGCTGCTGTTCACTTGGTGGCTCTGCTGTCACTGCCCACCAGCCCTGCCCACCTGTGTGGCCTGCCAGGGGGCACCGGGGTCCTAGCCAGGGGCCAGGGACAGCCTGGGCTCAACACCTGTGCATGGCACAGCTACCACACACTCAGCCCCATGCAAAGCGGCCCTTGCCAGGCCTCGGTTCCTCCTCTGTAAAGAACCAAGGAGAAGGGATGCATGCAGTGGGGTCGTGACACCAGGAGATGCAACTGAAAAACACAGTGGGGGGGCCCGAGGATTTAGCTCAGTGGTTCCACCTGCCTCGCAAAAGTAAGGACCTGAGTTCGAGCCCTGGCACCAAAAACAAAACAAAACACAGTGTGGGCTTAAATGATGCAGTGTAAAAGGCCCATCAAGGCAAAGCCACCCCAAAACCCTCGCCCTGGTGTCAAGCACCCCATCCCATTATCCTTGCCAATTTCTGCAGCACCTCTGGCGTCCTCTTTCCTGAGGGTCCTTCGTTGTGTTGTCCTGGCTGCTTCCATGACCCAAATCTACCTGAAACTTCTCCCTTTCGCGGCCATTTGGACTCGGAGGAAGAGCCAGCGCTCACCCAGTGCCAGACACGGTGAACAGGCCGGACAGGGGCACCGGGATGTTTTTACAGCCTGCTTTCTGCTGGATGGCGCTTGGCAGCGGCATTCACTGCATTTTTGATCAAGAAACTCCTCGACATGAGAGAGGACTTCAGAGCTGCTTCAGAAAGGACAAAACCGATGGGATCAGTGAGCTCAAAGAGGGGAAAGATTGTGAGGGGGACTCATGGTGATGTGTCTTCTACTGTAACAATTTTTTATTTTGTTTTTGTTTCTATATATTTTTTTTTTGGTACCAGGGATCAAACTCGGAACCTTGCGCTTGCAATGTAATAATTTTTTATTGTTTGTATTTTTTATTTTTTTTCATTTTTTGATGCCGGGGATCGAACTCGGGACCTGGTGCTTGCAAAGCAGGCGGCAGAACCACTGAGCTAAATCCCTGGCCCTATAATAATTTTTAAAATGTAAACATTCTCCACACATCTCGATCATCCCTGGTAATTCCTGGTTAGGTTTTTCTCCCATTCTTGAGGGGCGCAGGGGAACCAAGAAATAGCTAAGGAGAAGCCCACGTGTTCCTGGCTTAATGCCACTGTCCCCTCTGGGCTGGGACTCTGCTGCAAGGTCCTTTCCAGGGGCCCTGGGCCCGGGTGAGCCAGGGTTTCAGAGCCACTGGCTGCCCTGCCCTGAGCCATGTTTGCTTTCAGGTCCTCGTTATCCCCTCTGGCTCCTCTCTTTTCTGGGGTCCCCGCCCACACCTGGCTCAGAGGGAGCAGGTTCCCAGGGCTCTCACTGAGCAGGGAGGGTCCCATCTGGAGCTCAGGGGTGTCTCTCACCTAGACCCTGTGGACTGGAGCCCCAGCAATGTACAGAAGTGGCTGCTATGGACCGAGCACCAGTACCGGCTGCCGCCTGTGGGCACGGCCTTCCAGGAGCTGGGGGGCAGGGAGCTGTGCTGCATGTCGGAGGAGCAGTTCCGCCAGCGCTCACCCCTGGGCGGGGAAGTGCTGCATGCGCACCTGGACATCTGGAAATCAGGTGGGACCGGTGCAGAGGGTGGGCGGCCAGCGCGCAGGCCGGGAGCAGCCCAGCCCCCACCTGGGCTCCCCTGGGAATGCAGCCCCGATGAGGGCAGCCTGCCTGGGTCCTAAGGGAACTCATTCACCCAAGCCGCTGTCGGCCCTGGCCCAGTCCGCAGAACTTTAACATGGAACATGTGGAAGTTGAAAGGTAGATTTCAGAGCCAGGCACGGCGGGGCACACCTGTAATTCCAGCACATTGGAAGGATGAGGCAGGAGGAAGACAAGTTCAGGGCCAGTCTGGGCAACGTTGGGACTTAATGAGACCCTGTCTCAAAAAAATAGTAATCCCAGCCCTCAGGAGGCTGAGGCAGAAGGATGGCCTTGAGTTCAAGGTCAGCCTGAACTACATAGTGAGATGCTGTCTCGAAAAATAAAAATATAAAAGTAAAAAGAGCTGGAGATGCAGCTCAGTGCAAAGGCCCTGGGTTCAATCCCCAGTACAGCAGAACAGAAGAAGGTAGAAGTTAGATCATGGAGATGTGGGAGCTGAGGGTGACTGAGGACGTCAGAAAGTTCATTTTGTTTGTTGGTTTGGTTTTTTTTTTTTTGGTACCGGGGATCAAACTCGGGACCTTGTGCTTGCGAGGCAGGCACCGGAACCACTGAGCTAAATCCCCGGCCCCAGAAAGTTCATTTTAAATTTCAAAGTTTGTTTGCTCTGCTTCACTCTTCACTAAAGGGGTGATAAATGTCCCAGTTTAAGATCATAGTGAGAAACAGTGCACGGTGACCAATATGTCTCCTCTGTGCTGCCCCCGCTGCCGAGTGCTTCCTGAGGCAGCCTCGGTCACCAGTTTCTGGGCCCCTACCCAGAGGTCACCTGCGCATCCTTGAGCAAATGCACAGACGGACTCTGAACCCTAAAAATGCATCAGTACTATCCGACAGCCTATGGCTCTTCACCAGCAGCGTAGCTTGGACCGGGCTTCCCATCAGTACACACGCGGCCACCCTCTTCTTTTCTGGTACCAGGAGCTCTAGCCCTACCACTGAGCTACATCCCCTCGTTTTCTTCTGAGACAGGATCTTCCTAAGTTGCCCAAGGGGGACTTGAACTCTCAAACCTCTCACCGCAGCCTCCCAGAGTGCTGGGATTACAGGTGTGAGCCATCTTACCTGGTTGCCCTATACTTTTCAGTGGCCGTGTGCCCAAGTACACGTTTCCATTGTCTCAGTGGCATGGCCACTCTCTGTCCTGGGCACAGCTGGGCACTTTGCTCAGCCAGTCAAGGTCCCTGCTTTGAGGGCCTGGTAAGAATAATGGGTTGGGACCAGGCAGAGGATCCCACAGAGACCAGCACTCCCCCAGCTCAGGGCCCCGGCCGGCGGGTGGTGGCGTGGACCGCAGCAGGCGGCCTCCTCTGGTGTCGTCATGGGGATGGGAGAGCTGGGTAGAGGCTGGAGCGGCTGGAAGCCCTGGTGCCCGGCAGCTGGAGGGCAGGGAGTGGGTTTCACAGTGCGGGCCTGAGTGCCGCCCCCCCCCACTGCACCCACTGGCTCACAGGTAAGAAGAGGGTGTCCAGTGAGCCCCAGGAACCCGCCGCATGGGGCACAGGAGGCAGGACATTTGCAGAGGCTCCAAGCTCTGAAATCCTAACTCTTCCAGGAAGCTCCTTATAAGCAGCCTGCTTCCAGATCGGAAGTAAGCAGGGAAGCGCAGGGGACACCCAGCCACCATTGAGGGCCTCTGTGGCCCCACGTGGCACCCCTTAGCCCTCCCCACCTCCCCTGGGCCTCTCCTGGGCCCCCAACCTGCTCTCCTTGCCCAACAGCGGCCTGGATGAAGGAGAGGACCTCGCCCAGGGCCATCCACTGCTGCGGTGAGCCGGTGGGCAGGGCTGGGAGGGCCGAGGGAGGTCAGGCGGCTTCAGCTGCCCACTCACCACCCCTCCCTGGCCTCCAGCCTCCACCAGCGAGGACAGCTGGGCCCACAGCGAGGTGGACTCGTCCTGCTCAGGGCAGCCTATCCACCTGTGGCAGTTCCTGCGCGAGCTGCTGCTCAAGCCTCACAGCTATGGGCGCCTCATCCGCTGGCTCAACAAGGACAAGGGTGAGTGTGGGCTCCAAGGCTAGCAGGCTGGGGAGCTGCCCCACCTCTGCCCTGGATGCGATGCCGGCACGCAGCGGCCATCAGCTGCCCAGGTTCTGGGCAGGGTCTATGTCCTCATCTGTGTGACCGGCCACACCCTGTCCTGTTGAGGACCCTCAGTCCCGAACAGAGCCCGGAATGAGACTGAGAATCGGTCTTTGTCCTTAAAGCAGCACAGCTTCAAGCTGGGAGTGCTGGTGCACACCTGGAACCTCAGCTCCTCAGGAGGCTGAGGCAGGAGGATGGCGAGTTTGAGGCCAACCTGGGGAACCTAGTAAGACCCTACCTCAAAATAAAATGAAACAGGTCCAGGGTGAAACTCAGTGGCAGAGCACTTGCCTGGCACCCATCAGGCCCTGGGTTCCATTCCCCAACACCACAAAGAAAAAGCATCCTAACTTCGCTGGGGAGACGAATGGTGTCTGAAGAGAAATACAATGTGAGCCACACAGGTTGGATTAAATGGTCAAGTAGCCATGTTTAAAACAAGCCCAGGACCTGCAGTAGGGGCCTCAAACTCGACCCATAGGAGCAGAGGCTGGCGAGAGGGCCAGGCTTTCAGAACCCCGAAGAACCAACCGATGCAGGCAGCCAGGCCCCCACACATACAGCTGCGCCTTACTGGGACTTGCACACGTGCCTCTAACCCTCCCACAACCGGGGGCCCGGGAGTCGACCCGCCCTGGCCTTTGGTCTGTGTCTGCCCCGCTGTTTCCTGGCCCACTTGCACCTCTGCTTCTCTCCCGGCCCTCCTGCTCCCCCAGGCATCTTCAAAATCGAGGACTCTGCCCAGGTGGCCCGGCTGTGGGGCATCCGGAAGAACCGGCCTGCCATGAACTACGACAAGCTGAGCCGCTCCATCCGCCAGTATTACAAGAAGGGGATCATCCGAAAGCCGGACATCTCCCAGCGCCTGGTCTACCAGTTCGTGCACCCCATCTGAGGCCCGAAGCCACCCTGGCCACCCTGGCCTCCCTCTGTCCTGCCGCCTTTGCCCGGCCAGATCTGGCTCGGCCCAGGGAAAAAGAGCAGTGTGGGGCTAAGCCAAGCACGAGGTCAGGGGGTAGAGCAAGCTCCCTGTGACCCAGGCCCTTTCTGCTCACATGGACAGTGCCCTGGTGGACACAGGCTGCTCCCAGGTTATGATCCCGTTCACCTCCACCTCTGACCCTCCAGGTCCAGAGCAGCACCTGCTGAACAGCAGGGACTTGGCCACGGCTGCAACAGTGGGGGCGTCCTCTGCTCCAACCCCTGCCGCCCACTCTGCCCCAGGCCTGGCATGGAGCTAGGAGACGTCTGCACCCTGAGCCAGGAGCCGGGAGTGCCCCCGGGACCAGGGAACAAATATGTGAGAGAACTGGCAGGTGCCCAGGGTCCGTGCAGGGAATGGGACAGCCGGTCACGGGTCAAGTGGTCATAGAGGTCACACATGGTGACAAACGCACCTGCGATCCCAGCACTCTGGGAGGCTGAGGCAGGAGGATGGCAAGCGAAGCCCAATCGGGGCAATTTAGGAATTTAGCAAGGCCCTGTCTCACAATAAAATAAAAATAAAAGGGCTGGGAGTGTTAGCCCAGTGTGAAGGGCCTGGGTTCAACTGCAAACAAATTTTAAAAGATCTTTTTTTGGTTACAGGGCCCTGGGGTGGGCAAGGGAAGGTGGCTTTGAGCTGAGCCTAAAAGGAAAGAGGTAATGGGTCTGTAGCAGCTTGTGGAGAAGCCAGTGAAGCCTCCAGGCTGAGGAGGGGCTGGAAGGACCATCAAGGCCCGTACCGGGAGAGGCCACTGGGGGATGGGGGGGTGGGGATAGATGCGTGTTTGCGCATGTGCCGGGAGGCCACGCCCACCGCCCACTGTCCAGGCCCAGCGTCACCCTTCCAAGTGTCCACCGCGTGCCCAGGCCCCCCTAGGTACAGGCATGCCCACGGCTTCCTTGTCATTGACCTTCCCAACAAAACTCTGAAGTAGCACTTACTCCCCCATTTCACAGGTAACACAACTGAGGCTCAGAAAAGCTAAATGATGCTCACAGTCACACAGCTGATTCCCAGCAGACCCAGGAGCGTCCATCTCTCCCCAAGGACAGGCAGTCCCTGCCCCTCCATCCCTCGGCCTCAAGACTGGTTGGCAGCTCTGGTGCCCATAACTTTAGCTTCCATCCACAGCCAGGTTTCCAGGAAATCAGGAGGTGCCAGCCCCACCCAGGCCACCAAGGGTTAACTGTGGCCCTGGACGTCTGCCTTCTGCCGCCAGCGATTTTATTGTCTTCGGAAGAAAGTTTACTCCTGGCAGTGAGCAAACAGCACCTTGGCATCTGCCAGCTGGGACTAGACCCGAGCGGGAGGGGGCCCTGTTGTCTCCCACCCCGGGACCCGGCAGACTGGGACCCTAGCCAGAGCCAGACTCTGCTCTGCTGAACGAACTGGTTTTGTCTCTGGCCAGCCGGCCCTGCCCCCAGCGAGTGTGGATGTCCCAGCTAGGCCAGGTTCTGGGCGGCTGGCAGAGCTCAGACAGGGGCTAGGAGCACAGATGGGGGGTGAGAACCTGGGTGCAGGGAACAGAGAGGCTTTGGGGTGCAGGCAGCCCTGTACACCAGTGCCTGGCAGGCCCCCTAGAAGCCGGGAGCTGTCTAGGGCCTCCTCCTCCACATGCCTCCCTGTGAAGGCCCCGCCTGGCCAGAGTGTCCCCCGACCCCTCCCCAGGGCGATGCTCCCTGGCTCCCAAGGACTAACGGGACAGCTCTGCAGATAAGACAGTGAGACCATCTGTCTTTACTTGATCCTGGTTTCAAATGGAGGTGGATTTGGGGGTGCTGGAAGAAGGAGTGGATTCAGTCCCCCTCCCTGCCCTGAGCACACTTTGAGGCAGGAGGGTATGGGGTAAGGCGCTGGGGGTTTTTTCAGTCCTGGGGATGGAATCCAGGGCCTGGCAAATGCCACAGTTACATATTTATGTAACTTTAACTTTTTTTTAAATTTCGAGACATTGTCTTGCTAAGTTGCCCGGGCTGGTCTCCCTCATCCAATCCTCCTGCCTCAGCCTTCTAACAGGCTAGGATTACAGGTGTGCCCCTACCACGCCCATCAAGGGAGGATGGACTTGTGTCAGTGTCCTGCTCAACTGCCAGGACCAGTGAGGCCTCAGAGAGACGTCTCACCAGACTGGTGCAACAGGGCACTGCCCCGTGGGGGACCTGGGTACAGCGGGGCTCAAGGGGAGCCCCGGGGCTGGACTTGGAGTTGACACTGGGGCAGGGCCAGGGCCTGGCAGAAGCACTGAGAGCCCAGAGCGCCAGTCCTGCCCAGCCCTGAGCGCTCTCCCAGGGGGTGCCCAGAGGACAGCCGCAGAGCAGGGCCTGGTGCCACATGCAGGGAGCCTGGGCCTGAGGCAGGAGAACCACAGGCTTCGGCAGGCACTTTGAGAATTCTGCTTTAAAAACCACAACTATGAGCTGGAAGTGTGGTGCACCCTGTAATCCCAGCCTTCTGGGAGGCTGAGGCAGGATCACAAGTTCAAGCCCAGCCTGGGAAACTCAACCAGACTCTGTCTCAAAAGCTTTAAAAAGGGCTGGGGGGTGTGGCTCAGTGTGAAGAAGGCCTTTAGTGCAATTGCTGGTACTGGAAAAAGAAAAAAAACCAAAGCCACGTGGGGGCCAAAGTCACCTCTGACCCATGCATGAGTCTAGGACCCTGAATGCCCCAGCCCTCCCGGCCCAGGGTGGCCCTGGGCAGCTCAGGAAGCTCCAACATAACCCCACAGACAGCCAGGATGTGGGACTCTGGGGGTGAGGGCCCAGCACACAGTCGCCTGGCCAGGACAGCGCCCAGCTCGGGGGGCTGCCTCCCAGACAGACGTCCCAACCCCAGCAACAGGCCGGAAGCAGACACAGCCGACTCAGCAGGACCACGCCCAGCCAGGTTGACACAGTTCTGGATTTTATCCACAGTCGTACAGTCACAACTTATAGATATAGATATTTGTATTTATATACCTTTAAATTACACAATCATGTACAAAACAGGTGCGTTGCTGACACCACAGCACTTCTCGGAGGTTCACAAGTGTCAGAACTAATGGAGTCAGGGGGCCAGGGTGGCAGGCGGCAGCGGGGCAGCCCGGCCTCACAGAGCCAAGCCACAGAATGGTCCTTAGCCGGAGACAGACACCTTACTGGCCCAGCCCTTAGTCGGCCGGCACAGCATTGCGTGGGGCAGGCAGGGCCTCGGGGGCCCTGACCCCAGCACTGCCGGGTGGGGTGGGGCCCGAGCTCAGGGGACTTGCCTCGGGTCCCAGGGCCGGTCCTGTGTGGAGCCATGGGCACGGCTGCTCCAAAGAGGTGGGTTCTCCAGTCCCCGCCCAGCACTAAGCAGCCAGAAGGTGAGAGGGACAGGCCTGGGTCCAGGCTGGCACAAAGATGGGGAGCCCAGGCCCCAAGGTGCAGGTAAGCCAGCTTCCTACCTCTGCAGGCGAGCGGTGAGGGGCACAGACCTGCTCCCCTCTGCGGGGTGCTGAGAGCTTTTGCCCTGGGAGTGGGCAGCTCCGGGCTCTGCGGGGCCCTGGGCACGTTTCAGGCCCAGAGACCAGGCAATGGTAAGAGGGTGCTGGCAGTTGGGGGATGCCTGTCCCTGGGGTGCCATCACCCTTGGCCCTGAGCGAGGCCTGCCCTGTCCCAGGCCCCTGCCAAAGCTGTCAGCATCCTCAATGCCCACAGGAACAGGGTGGAGCCCTAACAGGAGCAGGGAGCCAGAGGGCCGGGGCCTCGCACTGCCTTTACCTGGAGCCCGAGAGGCCACAGAGGGAAGCAAGAGGGGTCTTTGTTCCAGAGGCCTGGGACTGGCAGGGCCCAAACCTGGCACCTGCACCTGCACTCCTGCTGTCACCAAGCAAATTGGTCTCTGCCCCTCCTACCCCACCCGAGTCCTTTAACTGGGACCCAGGCTTGAGAGATGGGAGTGCTGCCAGCTGGGGAATGTTGTTCAGGGGGCTGGGGTATCAGGAGGAGACATGATGACTATTCTGCCCGAGGCCAGAGGTGCTCTCTCCTGCTCCACTTGACTGTAGGCTTTGCCCTGGTGGCTTCCTGGGGCCTCCCCAGGCCCCAGAGGAAAAAGAGAGAGGGATGGCTAGGCTGGGAGCCCTGCAGGCACAAGGCGGATTCAGAGCCCCTGACTCTATGGTTATGGGTAGATGTGGAGGGCCAGAGGCTGGGTGGCCGGGCAAGATGCCCTCCTCCCCAGGAAATGGGAGGAGGCTGCTACTGTTGCTGGCTTTGCCCTGGGTTTGGGAGCCCCCCGCCCTGGGCCAAAGGTCTTGAGACGGGGGAGGGTCTCTGCAAGCGGCCGAGGGCTGTGGCTCTGAGGGGCTCTGCCCAGGTGGGGGTAGCTGGGAAGAAGGGTCTTGTTGCACAGGTGGGCCTGGTACAGTCTTCGCTGAGGGCCTGCTGCCCTCGCACTCCCTGTCCTGCATGCAATGATGCCCCCCTGGTCCAGCTCACCCCTCTTCATGTCTGGGGAAGCCTAGGAGCCCCTGGAAATCTCTACAGGAAAGGAGGGTGACCCTTCCTCCTCCGGCCCCACCAGTCCCAAGGGATGGGGCTAGGAGAAGAAGGTACTGGGGCAGAGTGGAAGACTAAAGATCAGGGGCTCCCTTCTCGGGGAGAGGAGGAGGAAGAGGTTAGGAAGCCAGGCTCAGAGAACAGGGTGGTGCTGGCATATGCAGTGGGCGGGGCAGATAGGGGACAGTGAGACAGGGGAGACAGGTCCAGATATCCCTCGGGGCCCAGGACACTCTTTGGTGGACTCTGAAGAGCAGATGTGATGCTGGACTAAGTCCTAAGACCCTTGGCCACCCTAGGGCCATCATCCCAAGTTCCACCACCCTGGCCTCCAGGTGGCCCTGCAAATGTTCTGTCTTATATTTTTTGACTCTTAAAAAAATAAAAGCTTGATCGGAAAATATGTCTGGAACTCTATGGCAAGGGAGGGAGAGGAGAGGGGAGGGACCGGAGCGGTGGAAGGAGGGAGGCGTGGCCGGCGGGGGGACTAGATGGCCTCCACGTAGTTGGCGGGGTAGAGGCCCAGCTGGCCGCTGTCCAGCCGCCCGCGGCACCAGCCCTGCTCGTCCTCTTCGCCCAGCTTGGTGAGCTCATCTCCTGGGAAGGGAAAGGGATGGCAGTGGACAGGAGCGAGGTTGGCCCTCCCTCCACGGACACGTGGGGTGAAACCTCCAGGCCCCTCCCGCTGCTGTGCAACGCGCCAACCCGCTCCCGGCGCCTTGGTTCTGGCCGCGGCCCCAGTCCCAATCCAACATCCACGCGAACCCCAGGCACAGAGGCCCGGATCTACCTCGGCCAGCACTCACCTGGACCGGCCCAGCCCGATGCCCAGCACCCGCCTCCGCTTTCTTTCTCAGGCCCCAGCCCTGCTCCTCAAATCCTGTCTCCAAACCCCACCCCACCTTATTCCACCGGTCACCCTCGGGTGCTCCTAATCCCAACCTTGCGAGCTCAGGCCCCGCCCCTCCGCCACACCCAATCCAGGGCCAGGCCTCTCCTGTCCCTCAGGCCCCACCCCCACGTCTCACCCAATCCAGGCGCAGGCCTCTCCCCAGGCCCCGCCCCACCTCCCCGCCCACCGTACCGGCCTTGAAGCTGAGCTCATCCTGTTCCTGGCCGTCATAGTCGTACAGCGCTCGCACTCGGACCCCCTTGGCGTCGTCTTCGAAGGGGTTGGCGCCTCCGTTGGCCTCATTGCCCCCAAACGGGTTTCCGCTCTCGTCGTCCGACCACTCTGTGGCGTAAGGCTGACCTCTGTCGTAGCTGCTGACGCTGAGATGCGGAGGGAAGACCCCTCAAGGGCGGCCCCAGCCCCAGCCCTGGGGCCGCTGCCCCTCACCTGGGCGCGGCCCCCGGTACTGGCAGGATTGCTGGAGCAGGGGGCCCGGACCCTCAGGTCAGCTCTGAACAGAAGGCAGGGCCGTCTGCATCATGTCAGCTCTTCAAACTCCGGGGCCTCACCTGCCGCGGTCCCCCGCCTGGGACGTGCACTCCACCGCCCCGGCGGCGTTGCTCAGCGCCGCCCCCTCCACCTTCTTGGGCTGCTTTTCCTTCTTGGCGGTGGTGTGGGGCAGATCTGGGTTCCACTCCTGGTGGGGGCAGGAAGCAGGCGACTTGGGGGCTGTACCCCGAGGCCCTCGCCCGCTCCTTCGGGGTCCCCGCCCCCTCCCCACAAGACCTCACCTCGAACTGGGGCCAGTTCATGGGCATGCCGGGGCCGCTGGTGCTTCGGAACCATCGGAGGTCCTCCTGGGCGTCGGCCCCGCGGATGGCCTGCTCCAGCTCGCGGTACACATGCATGTAGCTGCGCTCGGACGCGGAGTAGAGGGCGCGGGGTCACCAGGGGCGCCTCTCATCCCATTCGCATGACGCAGGCAGGATGCGCAGTGGGCTCCCCGCCGCACCCCACCTCGGCCACTCGCCCCGCCCCGCCGCACACGCGTTTCTTGGGTGCCCAGGAGCGCAGCGCACACCCCGCACCCAGGCAGCCTCTTCTGCCCCCAGGCCTGGGCCCGATGCCTGCACACCGGCTCCCCCTGCTGGCTGTGCCCGCCGTGCCGGGTACCTGCTGTTCTCCGCCAGGTTGAGGTGACGCTTGATGTCCAGCAGGACCTCCTTGAGGAAGACCAGCCGCTTTTCCTCAAACTGCTGGCACTGCTCAAACACCTGCTCCATGCTCTCCATGTACTGGGGCGTGTTCTTGCCCACGTCGTCCAGCACCTTCTCGTACTTCTCCTGAGTCTGAGGGCGCAGTGAGGCGGTGAGACCCTGCGGGCCACGGCTCCGCCCCTCCCACCCCGGTCCGCGCCCCAGCCACGCCCCCTTTCCGCGGGACCTTCTGCACATCCTGTTTGCATTTGTCCACTTTGTCCTGCAGCTTCTTCTGCTGCTCCGGCGTGACCGACTGCTCGCCCTTGCTGTTCATCTCCCTCGTCAGGGCCAGCTTCTCCTCCTTGCAGGCCAGGTGGTACGCCTTCTTGGCTGCCTCCAGCTGTGGGAGGGCGGGGCACGCGAGGGTCCCACTCGTGAGCAGGACATCTGCGGTCACTCAGCCTCGGCGCCGCCGCCTGCCTGCTCACCCCGGGGGATGGGCGGGCACAGGGGCTGCGTGCGGGCTGCCAGGCAGGGCACCCACTTCCATGGATCTCCTGGCCGGCCGACCCGACACGCCCTGCTGGTACCTCCGGGGACAAAGCCCCTTCTCCCTGCGTCCCCGCCCGGGGGTGCTGTCTGCCCTCGGCCGGCCGCCCCCTCTGGGAGGTGGCGCTGCGCAGTGGCCCCCGGCCCGGCCCCAGGGCGCCGTGCCCGTGTCACCTCCTTCATCTTCTTGGCCCAGGGCTTCTGGGCCTTTCGGAAGCCGTCCTCGGCCTCCTTGGTCTCCTTGAAGCCGCCCATGATCTGCTTGTGGTAGGCGTCCTTCTGCCAGTTCTTGACCTTCTCCAGGTCCTCACTCAGCAGGCTGTTCTTCACCTCCTGGTGCAGCTCGCTCACCTTATCCGCCTCTGTCATGATGGCGCCCCAGGCCCGCTCCAGGCTGCCGTACTGCGGGCCTGGGGCGGCGGAAGCCGGTCACAGCGACCCCTGCCCTCCGCAGAGCTCGCCCCCACCTCTATCCTCCCTCCAGGGCCCCAGCCGCCACCTCTGGGAAGCCGCCTCCCCTACTCCGCATCGCCGCCCTCACCGTGGGGGCCCCGGGCCTGCCTGGGTCCCCAGATTCTCCCCAGCCTGGCCCAGCTCCCGGACTGGAACTCGCTACATCACCCGGGGTGAACTTGAACTAGTGCTCCTGCCTCAGCTTCCTGAGCGCTGGGGTCACAAGCGTGTCCCACCACGCCTGTGACTTAAAAGCCTACCTGAAGGGGAAGCAGCCCCCAGAGGCCCCGTGGCTACAGGAAACAGGGCGCTCAGGAGGCACCGCCCGGCCGCGGGGCGGGTGGGGACTGGGGCTCCCCGGGGACCAGGAGGCACCTTTCTCGATGAGCTGGCGCCAGCGCTTGGCCCAGTCGGTGAGCTGCTGCGCGTACGCCTTCTCGATCTTGGCGCGCTCCTGCACGCAGCTCATCAGGTCGTTGCACAGGCGGTGGCCGTCGTCAATGCGCTTCACCGTGCGCTTGTAGTTCCCCACCTGGCGGCCGCAGCGCGCGTCACTCCGCGCTCCCGAGCACGGCCTGCAGGGGGCGCTCGCGCCGCTCCACGACTCCCGACCCCTCCCTCTTGGGGCGCCCAGCACCCCGCGCCGCGCCAGGCGCCCCCATTTCTGCGCACCCTCTTCCCACTTCAGACATCACCTCCTCGCCGCCACGAAATGGGGAGTTTTATAATTTGGACTTGGGCTACAATGAATTATTCATGCTGTTCTCGAGCGCTAAGCCCATTATATTTATACAGAGTCGCAGAAGCGTCGAGTTGAGCTGCAGATTCTTGACACAATATTATGTTTTGTAGACATCTCATTAAACACTTATTAATTTAGGTCTGGCAGTTTCTGTTTAGGATTTCAGGAGCCAATAACGATTTTTCTCCCCTAGGTCTCAAATCCTTCCGGAAGTTTCCGAAATGCTGCCTTCTAGTCTTGCCTGGACCCATAAGGTGGCCGCTAGCCCCCTCCCCAAGCCCCCTGCAAGCCTCAGTGTCCAATGCTCCAGCCCCAGAATGGGGGCTGGAAACAGCTACGAAAGGCTGCAGAAACTGCAAGGCGCTGAGCCAGCCTGTGTGAAGGGCCGGGAGCTGCACCGGAAGGGCCTGCAGCTACACTGTGAAATGTCACAGCGTCTCTCCGGGGACAGCCCTGGGGGCGAAGGGGCTCTGGGTGGTAGTCTTATCCCACTTCTGGCGGACACTGGGGCTTTGGAGGGGCTGAGGAGTTGCAGATCAAGGGCTGCGAGGGGGGCTGCAGCACCCCAGCCTCACCTCCCAGAAGCTGTCTGTGGTCTCCTCCGGAGCCAGCGAGGCCTCATCGTAGGAGCCGGACATGGTGTGGCCGAGGGGTGCCGGGCCGGGATGCAGCTGCAGTCAGTGGGCTCGGGGGCTCAGGCGCTGGGAGGCAGGAGAGACTGTGAGGGGTCCCAGCCCACTCCGCCCGAGCCTCGGGCCGTGGAGGAGGAGCCTCCCGCTGGGATGGGCCTTGTGCCATGGGGGCTTGGAACCCTAGGGTGACCCCAGGATTCAGCCTGCAGCACGTGTGCCCTGGGGCCTGGTACCGACCCTGAGCGCCCCCACCCTCGCTTGGGTAGCTGAGTCTGGAAAGCTCCTGGGTCCCACAGCTCCCCAAAGCCAGTGGTCAGGGCCCCTGGCTGGCTGCTCCTCAACTCTGCTGCCCCAGAAGGAACCCTCTCTGCCCCTCAGCTGGCTCACTTTGACCCAGCCCTCCAATCTGTGCAGCGTGTGGGTGGCTGTGCCTGCCCTGCTTCTGTCAGCTGGCACTGAGGTTCTCCAATCTAGGGCACTCGCCCCCGGGCCTGGGGCCACTCCCGCCCTCCCCACTAGGACACACGGTGGCTCTGGCCAAGAGGGCTCAATAGCCGAGACAAGGCACAGGGGCAGCCGAGCCGAGCCAGGCCTGACCCGGTGGGTGCTGTCCACCTCCAGCTGGCTCTGGGGCTCACCCCAGCAGGGCACTGTGAGGCCTGAGAGATTCAGCCCAACTGGGGGACCCAAGGACCCCCGTCCCTTCCTGGGATGGCTCAGGGCAGGTGGGACGCAGGTGCGGTGGACACTGCCCCAGCCCCACGCTGCTGTGTGAGCACTTGAACCCCTGTGCCCTCTCTGGGCGTCCTGGGAAGCAAGCGGAGGACATGAGAGTACAGTGGTGCCCACTCCAGCCCCTCAGGCTCAGCAGACAGGCAGCGGGAGCCTGTGAGGCCCGGGGCTGCCCGGCCTCCAGTGCCCCGCCACACCCGGGCAGGTGGTGGCCAGCGCTGGCCACATGCTCTGCTCCTCCTGGATGGCCTCCGTGCTGTCACCGAGGGGTGTGCCACCAGGAGTCCAGCCTGACACGGCAGCACCTGGCGCTCCCCAGGGACAGGCCTGACTTTTCCCAGTAGGGGTGAGGCCACTCCCCACCACGAAAGCCCTTTATCATTCACAGTAGCAGCTGGCGTTCACAGAGCACATCACAATCCTAGGTCTTTCTTTTTTTTCTTTGTCTCTTTTGATAGTACTAGGGTTGAACCACTGAGTCCCTACCCTTTTCATTTTTTAAATTTTTTGGTACCAGGCATCAAACTGGGGACCTTGCGCTTTCCAGGCAGGTGGTGGAACCACTCAGCTAAATTTCCAACACCATTTTTTTTGGTACCGGGGATCGAACTCAGGTCCTTGCGCCTGCACAGCAGGCGGCCAAACCACTGAGCTAAATCCCTGGCCCCTCCCAACGCCATTTTTAAAAATTTTAAGATAAGGTCTCACTAAGCTGTCCAGGCTGGGCTCACACTTGCCATCCTCCTGCCTCAGCCTCCCAGAGCGCTGGGATTATAGGTGTGGGCACCTTGCCCAGCTCCAATCCTATGCCTCAACTCAAGTCGCCCTCATGCCAACCCTACGCCTGTCCTCCACACTGAGGATGAGAGCCCACAGGCCGGGGACACCACTGGGCCAGGCCCGCCCAGGTGCTGTGGCCCCGGCCAGCCTGTCAGGACATGGCCCGGAGCCAGTGTCTCGTGAGCCTGGAACTACGGTGCTCCCAGCCCTCCGAGTCCAGCCGCCTGCCCCACACCCTGCGCGAAGCCCCTCACATGAGCCAACGTGAGCAGCAGCACAGCGGCCTCTCCCATCTCCGTCGGCCCCTGGAGAGCCCCAACCCACAGCCCCAGATACTTGGGGCGCCTCCTCCCCAACTCTGCTGCCACCACAGAAGGCAGCATGGGCACTGCCCTCAGCCACCACCAGCTGCTGTAGATGCTCTTCATCTTCATTTCCAGGTGGGGAAACTGAGGCACGGGGCCATGAAGACAGCACAGCCAGGGCGTCCCAGTGGTAAATGGTAGAACTGGGTGGGATTTGGTCTTCTCAGCAGCCACAGCCCACACGGCCAAGTCCCCTCCTTGCCTCATCCCCCAGGACCCCAAAGGCCTGATGGTGCGCACCTATAACCCCAGCATTCAGGAGGCTGAGACAGGAGGATCGCCAGTTGGGAGCCAGGCTGGGCTACACAGTGAGACCCTGTATGAGCACCACTTCCCCCTGGGCCATGAGTCCTGGTCTGTGGAACACGCCGGCCCTGGATTTAAATGGTGGCACAGGCCCTTGGGTGGATGGGCCAGGCCCAGCAGCCAGGAGCCTCCCAGGACATCTGCCCTCTGCTCCCTGCCAGCCCTGTAGCTAGTGGCAGGTGGCTGTCCCCTCGCAGAGCCAGAACCCCATGGAGGGAGTCGAGTTCCACCTGGCCGTGCTTCTGGGCCTGCCAGGCACAACCTCCACTCCTGCTCCAACCTTAGGACCTCTCTCTACCACCTCGGAAGCAGCCACCCACTGTGCGCTGCTCTCCAGCTTGCTCCCAACCTGGCACGACCTGGAGCTGGGCGGTGACTTCCGGTTCTACAGACGGGCATGAGAGACCCGCAGAGGGCAAATACTTGACCTGGGTCACATGGCAGGCGGAGGCTGAACTGGATGGATCTGTGTCCTCCCTGCCCTCTTCCCCGAGTGCTGGGGCCTGGGCCCTCCCCGGCCTGGGCTGCCCGAATCCTCCCACCACTCACTCTCCCGCCAGTTCTTGCTTCCCTTCCAGGGCGGCCCAGACCCCTCTCCAAGCCCTCCCTGTGTCCCCAGACCTCGCCTGTCCCACCTGTGCCCGTCCATCACCCTGTACCCTGAGCCAGAACCCCCCATCAGCATGGGTGTCAAGGGTGGAGGTGCGGCCAGAGACCCGGCTCAAATCCCAGCCCTGCCACTTCCTGGCCTGGGGCCTGGCAACTTATTTAACCTCCGTGTGCCCTAGTCGCCTCACCTTCGGAGTGGGGAGTGGGAGTGCTGGCCCCGTGGCCTGGGAGGAGCCGCCCCCATTATCCGGGACGCAGAGGGCTCAGCTCTCCTGTGAGCCTCAGTGACGCCCACAGTGACCCTCACCTGGAGCACCCAGCCCCCCTCCAGCTGCTCTGACCCAGGGCCCCTCAGGAATGACTGGTGCGGGTGAGGGGCAGAGAGGGTGAGGGCACTCGTGGGCAGGGAGGTGGCCCTGGGGTCCCGGGGCATAGGGGCGGGAGAAGCACCCACAGCTGCCGCTCAGATGGGCCTGGCCTGGCCTCAGGGCCCCAGGCCACCACCCCCTGCTCTGCCCTTGCGCCCGGGCCCTGCTCTCCTCTAAAACTCACCCCAGGCTCCCCATCCCAAGCCGGGTAGCCGAGGCAGCCCTTCCTGCAGCCCACAGGCTTCAGGGAGGCCCAGAGGAGGGGTTGCCGGGCTGCGGTGCCAACCCTCATGGGGCAGGCACCAGCCACCCCCTTGGGGACAGCGCCGACAGGGGCAGGGTGGGGGCAGTGGGGTGGGGAGTCCCCCCCCCCCGGCAGAGGTCTGGGGACAAAGAGGGGACCGGGCCACCTAGCCTGAGGCGCCGCCCTCCACCCAGGGCCCTAGCGGGTTCCCCTCAGGCCCCCTCGAGGCCCACAGCACCCAGCACCCTGAGCTGCCCTCCCACCTGCTTCTTCCCCTGCTGCGGTCGCTGCAGACCTGGTCCCCAAGAAACACGGCTCTGTCTGGAGGTGGCTTCCGGGGTCCCAATAGGACACACAAGGCTGGGGAGGCAGGCAACCCAGGCAGACCTGGCCTAGAGCACTGAGCAGGACAGAAAACGCCCTGTCCTTGTGGAGCTCACGTTCTAAAGGGGCTGCACAAGGAAGTAAACAATAAAGTGTGCTGGAGGTGATGGGGTATGGATTAAAACAAGGCAGGGAAGAGGACAGGGAGGGATGGTAGGGCTTGGGGAAGGTGCTATGTAGCCACACAGTGTATCTAGCCAGAGGGCACAGCCAGTGCAAAGGTCCTGGGGCAGGGGTCTGGCTGCCACAGTTGAAGACCAGCAGCACTGAGGGACAAGGGGAGAAGGGAGTCGTGTGGCTGGGGCAGACGGAGTGAGGGAAGGGAGGCTGGGAGGTGTGGGTGGAATGAGGCCGAAGGCGCCATAACCTGGACCTTGTGGGGCTGAGGGAGGCCCTGACTTTCTCCCAGGGAGATGGGAGACAGTCCAAGGCCCAAGGAGAGGTGGGGTGTCATCTGGCCTCTGTCTCAGGCTCCCAGCTGCTGGGGGCAGAGCAGCCTAGGGGGAGGAGCAGGCAGGGAAGCTGTCACAGGCGGCTGCTGGAGAGGTGGAAATGCAGGGAGGGTGAGCAGGGGTTGGGCCTGGCGCCGCTGCCCCAGACCCCACAGGGCCTTGGATACAAGGGGGGGCGGGCATCACCCACAAAGAGCCTCCCTGTCCCCAGCCCCACCCCCAGCTCCACCCCCTGACTTGAGGCAGCTGCTGGGGAGCCTGGGCCCCCGCTCACTGTGCCCTAAGTGGGGGTCGGGGCGGGAGGTCTTTCCAGTGGGCCAGTTGGGTGGGAACTGAGGGAGGGTGCAGACAGCAAGCAGACAGACCCTGTGGGGGCGGAGCAGGGGAGGGGGCAGAGGGTCAGGGCGCAGAGGGCGTCCCGCTGGGCACAGCTGCACCTGAGCCCCACTCCCCCTCCGGGCCCTGGACCTAAGCGCAGCCCCTGTGCCCGGCCCCAGCAGACGCACCCAACATCTGCAGAAACCGACCAGGCCAGCACAAGATCCTCCCTCGCCCCCCGTGCCCCCACTGAAGGCCAGGCCTGAAGCACGCAGCTACCTCTGCCGGGGCTGGGTGTCGGCAGGCAGGGCAGGGCCTTCGGCCCCCCAGGCGCGCCCCTCACGCTGCCACCCCTGCCCACGAGGGCCTCAGCCCAGACGGCAAACCCGGGCCACTCGCCGCGAGCCCGGCCCGTCCTTGCCCCTCTCGGCCTCTCCGCAGTGCCCAGCTCCCCGTGGCAGCGCAGAGTGGGTCCCTAGGAGCAATGCAGCACGGGGACCGCGGGGGGGGCAGCCCCGCACCCGACCGCAGCCGGGCTCGGCGGGAGCGCGCAGGCGTCCTGGGGGGAGGTCTGGGCGCGGAACTGGCAGCCCGAGGGGGGGGTCTCGGCGGTGCTCGGTCAGGAGGTCGCTCCGGCCTCGGGGCTGGGAGGCGCTGTCCGTCCTGGGGCAGAGCCTCCCCGGGCCCAGAGGGGTGACATTCCCGTCGCCTGCCACCCTCAGGCCGGCTCAGCCCGGGAAAGGGGTGCCCGGCCCGCACCCCCAGTCAGGGCGGCTCGCGCAGAACCCAGGACCCGCAGCCGCAGCGGGAGGCGCACGGCAGGAAGGCGACGCAGGGCAGTGCGCCGGAGGTGCCCGGGCGCTCTGGGGACCCCGGGGCGCGCCTACCTCGGCCGGAGCTGCCGGCCGCGCTCCCTCTGCACCGTGGAGGCGGCGGCGCGCGGGGACCTGGCGCCGGGCTGGGGGCTGCGCGCTCCGGGGTCCCCTTGCCGGCGCGCTCGGAAAGCAGCGGCGCCAGAGCCGCAGGAGCCCGCTCCCCGCCCCCACGCCGCCGCCTCCCCTCCCGCCTCCTTCCAGCCACCCACCTCCTTCTTCTCGTTTCCATGGCAACCGTGCAATGCTCGGCGCCAGCAGCCTCTCTCCGCCGACGGCAGGGGGCGCCCGCATCCACAAGGGCGCGCGTGCCTCACGGCACAGACTGGCTTGGCCCGCTCCACCCGGGAGGTCCTGCCCTGGGCCTTTCCTCTCTTCCTCCCCAAGAGCTGGCCTCTGGCTTCCCTCCCAACACCTCTGCCATGCACCTCCCTCGGTCCTGACGTCTCACCGAGAGCTGCTCCGTAAGACATTTCTATTTGCTACATCTTTTTTTACTTTCTGGTCTAGAGAGTCTGAATTTTTCCGGGGCCAGGGTGAGCGCGAGATGTCCACCCACGATCTCCTGCCGCGAAAGTTCACGCCCATTTAACAGATCGGATCTGAGGCCCCAGGTTGTAAAACAAGGCTCAGCACCCGGGTTCCTGGGCTGGCTGCTGGCCCTGTGACTCCAAGTCCAGGGTCCTCTCAAGGCCACGGCTGCTGCACGTCCCCCACGGCCCATCAGCACCGTGTGGCTCATGTGTGATCATGTGCACCAAAGTGTGCACCGTGTGCACCCTCGGCACACTTACAAACACCCGTTACGGCCGGGGATTTAGCTCAGTGGTTCTGGTGCCTGCTGCGCAAGCGCAAGGTCCCAAGTTCGATCCCCAGTACCAAAAATAAAAAAAACAACCACCCATTACATTTGCCCACAGGCTTTTCTATGAGTGTGTCTGCCTACACGTGCACACACGTGTGACACTGATATACACATGCATGCACTTCTACATGGATCCAAAACACACACACACACACACACACACACACACACACGAGAGCCTGTGGTATACACACAAGCCCAGCACCCCACCCTCCCCTCCCCCAGGGACTCAGAAGTAGGAATAAAGGGTCCCAGCTGGGGCTTGAGGGAGGAGCTGCTTCCAGGAGAAAGCATCCCTGAACGCCGTCCCCTTCTCTGGTCTTGCAGGATCGCTGGCAGTCACAGCAGCCTTGCATGGTGAGGCGGTAGGACCTTAGGAAACAGACCAGAAACTGGCTGATTTTCCCAAGGTGGTGTGAGTATAGGGCTGGGCTGGGGTTTGAACCCTGTGCTGGTCCAGCTTTTCTGTTCTCCACATAGATCCCACTATGAAAGATCTAAGCCAGGTGTGGCAGTGCTCGTCTGTGATCCCAGCACTCTAAGAGGCTGAGGCAGGAAGATGGCGAGTTGGAGCCCAGCCTGGGCAATTTAGGGATTTGGGGAGGCCTGGTCTCAAAGAAATAAAACCTGGGGTGTGGATGCAGCTCAGTGTGAAGGCCCTGGATATGATCTTGAGTCCTGGAGAACGAATGAAGGTTCCCCTAGCAGAGGCTCCCAGGAGAGGGAGGGGGCCTGGGCTGGGACCGGAGGGATTGGATTCCCCGATGCTGTAAGTAGAGCCCCTGCCCACCTGCCAGCCCCCCGGCCCAGATCGCCTTTCTCCCAAGAGTGGTTCCATCCGGTGACACCAAAGACAGCTGTCCCCACTTGCGTGAGCCCGACCCCGGCCCATCTGCTGCCTGGCAGACCCCGAGTCCGGCCCTCCCACACTCAGGTTCCAGACAGGCTGTGGGGAAAGCTGACCCCTCCTGTCTCTTCTCCCAGGCTCCAAGAGCTTCTGCCACTCTGTCCCCGCCACCAGCCTAATCTGGCCGCGGCTGCTGCTGGGCCACCCCTGAGCTGGCCCAGCCTCAGCCCCGTGCCCAGCCTACAAATGCAGAGGGCGTCCTGCCCAGGCCACAGACAGAGGCCCTGTGCCCCAGCCTTCACTCCCCTCCCCCGATCCCCCAGCCTGGGCTGCCCGCCCCTCAGCTGCTGCTTTGCATCCCATTTGCATATTCCCGTGACTGTCAAGATGCCAGAATCCTCCCTACCTGGCCTTGTGTGCCGGGCAAGCTGTACAGCTCGGGAGGAAGAAAGCGGAAGGCTGCAGGAGGATCTGTGCAGGGCTGGCCATGAGTGTGGACACTGCAGGTGGGAGGCGCAGAAGAAGAAAGCGTCCAGACCTTCAACGAGCACCTGCTACGCCCAGGCAGCGTGCACAGTGCTTGTTTTTCACAATGAACCATTTTACAGGTGTGGAAACTGAGGCTCAGAGCAGTTAAGGCCTCACTGCCCAGTCTGGGTCTGAGGCTGGGGCTTAGCTCAGTGGGAGAATAGCTGTGTAAGTGCATGAGTGCCTGGGTTCCATCCCCAGCACCACAAAAAAGAATAAAGAGCCTGAATCCTGGGCCCAGCAACCTGGGCAGCATCTGTTAAGTGGCAAGAAATGCAGACTCTCGGTGTCACCCCAACATCCTGCATCAGAGCCTGCTTTTCCAATCCCAAGAGATTCCAGGATGAGAAGCACTTGGTTAGGAGGCTCCTCCTGTAACACGGATGGATGATGAGGCTGGTGTTGGCCCTGGCAAGTGACTCAGCCCCACGCCATCTTCATTGCCTTTAGTGAGCATTTTCTGAGAACCTGCTATGTGTGGCATCACCCTGAGGGTTGGGGGACACTGCAGATGATCAGTCAGACCAGCTACAACCTCGTGGGTGATGCCTGCCAAAGGGGACACACAAGAAACGATGTAAGTGAAAGGGCCAGTCAGTGCTACCAAGAAAAATCATGTGGCTTTAAGAACCACAGTATGCGTGGGAAGTCATTGTGTCACCCTTCTTTTGAAGAAGTGACATTTGAACAGAAATCTAAATGAAGGTTAGAAAGGGACATGTTAGATGATTTTAGGGAAGAGAGTTTCTGGCAGAAGGAACAAGGCAAGTATCCCAAGGTATGAGTAAGTCTGGGATCACTGAAAAGACCTCAAAACTGAATGGATGGATGGATGGATGGATGGACGGAGAGATGGATGGATGGATGGATAGATGGATGGATGGACAGATGGATGGATGGATGGGCAGATGGGTGGGTAAGTGGTGGATGGATGGACAGATGGATGGGTGGGTGGATGGGTAGATGGATGGATGGGTGGGCAGATGGATGTCGATGGATGGGTAGATGGGTGGGTAGGTGGTAGATGGGCAGGTGGATGGGTAGGTGGTGGATGGATGGATGGGCAGATGGGTGGGTAGGTAGTGGATGGATGGACAACGGACAGATGGATGGATGGATGGACAGATGGGTGGGTAGATGGTAGATGGATGGATGATGGGTGTGTGGATGGGTGGATGGATGGATGGGCAGATGAATGTGGATAGATGGGCAGATGGGCAGATGGATGGATAGATGGGTGGGTGGATGGATGGATGGATGGATGGGTGGATGGGCAGATGGGTGGGTAGGTGGTAGGTGGCAGGTAGAGTAAGCCAGAGAGAGAGGAAGTCAGTAAGGCAGTGTAAAGAAGAGGGAGACAGGGACTGGATCCTGTAGGTGAGGACTCAGGATTTATTCTAAGGATGAAGGGAAGCTGGTGGTATTTTTTTTAGCTCGCTGGAAAGGCTCAATGGCAGAATGGAAATAAGAGGGGAAAAAAATCAGTGAACTTGGAGATAGAACAATAGAAATAAACCAATCTGAACAACAGAGAGAAAATGGACTGGAAAAACATGGAGTCTTGGGAAGTCACGGGACTGTAACAGAAGAACTGTCATTTGTGTTCTCAGAGTCCAAGAAGGAGGAGAAAGAGTGGGGTCGGCCAAAGCATCCCCAAGGAACTACTTTGAATTTTAAAAAACCCTACATTCGACAAAAAGACAACAGATTTAAGAAGTGTGTGGGCTCTAAACAGGGGAAAACCAAAGAAAT